TAGAAATGACGCCGGAGATCTCATGATAGAATTTTGTAAGACCAACAACTGGTTCATTGCAAATACTTTTTTCAGCAACGTAAACGGCGACTATAAACGTGGACCATACTGGATGGAATACACAGGAATCAAACTGACTACATCTGTGGAAAGAGAAGATGGAGAAGCTCAATATCATCAGTCAGAACAAGGCTGGGGTTGACTGTGGAACAAATCACCGATTGCTCATTTGCAAGTTCAAGTTGAAGCTGAAAAAAATTAAAACAAGTCCACGAGAACCACAGTATGACCTTGAGTATATTCCACCTGTATTTAGAGACCATCTCAAGAATAAATTTGATGCATTAAACACTAATGACCAAAGACCAGATGAATTGTGGGATGACATCGAAGACATTATATATGAAGAAAGTAAAAACTTACTAAAAAGATAGAAAAGAAAGAAAAGACCAAAATGGATGTCAGAAGAGACTCTGAAACTTGCCCTTGAACGTAGAGTAGCTAACACAAAAGGAAGAACGATGACGTAAGAGAGCTGAACTGAAGATTTCAAAGGGCAGCACTAGAAGACAAAGTGAAGTATTATAATGACATGTGCAAAAATCTGTAGTTAGAAAACCAAAAGAGAAGAACATGCTCGGCATTTCTCAAGTGAAAGAACTGAACAAAATATTCCAGCCTCAAGTTGCAATATTGAAGGATTCTATGGACAAAATAGTGAATGATACAGAAAACATCAAAAGAATTTGGAAGGATTACAGAGTCACTGTACCAAAAATAATTGGTCAATGTTGAACCATTTTGGGGTAGCATACGACCAAGAGCCAATGGTATTGAAGGAAGAAATCCAAGCTGCACTGAAAGCATTGGCAAAAACAAGGCTTCAGGAATTGACAGAATACCAACTGAGATGTTGCAACAAACAGATGCAATACTGGAAGCGCTTACTTGTCTATGCCAAGAAATTTGGAAGAGAGTTACCTAGCCAACTGTCTGGAAGAGATTCATATTTGTGTCCATTCCAAAGAAAGGTGATCCAACAGAATGCACAAATTATCAAACAATGTCATTAATATGACACACAAGAAAAATTTTGCTGAAGATAATTTAAAAAAGGTTGCAGAAATTCAACTGCCAGAAATTCAAGCCAGATTCAGAAGAGCACATAGAATAAGGGATATCATTGCTAATGTCAGATGGATCTTGGTTGAAAGTAGAAAATACCAGAAAGATGTTTACCTGTATTTTATTAACTATGCAAAGATATTTGAGTGTGTGGCTCATAACAAATTACAGATAACATTGTGAAGAATGGGAATTCCAGAACACTTAATTGTGCTCATGAGCAACCTGTACATAGACCAAGAGGCAGTCATTCCAACAGAATTTGGGGATACCGCATGGTTTAAAATCAGGAAAGGTGTATGTCAAAGTTGTATCCTTCCACCATATTTATTCAATCTGTATGCTGAGCAAATAATCAGAGAAGCTGAGCTATATGAAGAACACAGCATCAGGATTGAAGGAAGACCCATTAACAACCTGTGATATGTAGATGACACCTTACTTGTTGAAAACAAAGAGGACTTGTAGTACTTACTTATGAAAATTAAAGAGTACAGTCTTCAGTATGAATTGCACCCCAACATAAAGAAAACAAAATCCTCACAACTGGACCAATAAGCAACATCATGATTAACAGAGAAAATATTGAAGTTTTCAAGGATTTCATTTTACCTGGATCCACAATCAACACCCATGGGAGCAGCAGTCAAGAAGTTAAACTACGTATTGCATCGGGCAAATGTGCTGCAAAAGACCTCCTTAAAGTTTTAAAAAGCAATGATGTCACTTTGAGGACTAAGGTGTGCCTGACCCAAGCCATGGTATTTTCAACCACCTCATACGCATGTTCAAGCTGGGCAATGAATAAGGAAGCCTGAAGAACTGGCGCCTTTGAATTGTGGTGTTGGTGGAGAGTATTGAATATATCACGGGCTACCAGAAGAACCAACCTGTCATGGAAGAAACAGCCAGAATGCTCCTTAGAAGACAAGATGGCGAGACTTCATCTCACGTACTTTGGACATGTTACCAGAGGGACCAGTCCCTGGAGAAGGCCATCATGCTTGGTAGAGGGTCAGCGAAAAAAGGAAGACCCTCAACGAGATGGATTGACACAGCGGCTGGAACAATGGGCTCGAACATGGCAACAATTGTGAGGATGGGACAGGACTGGGCAGTTTCATTCTGTTGTACATAGGGTTGCTACGAGTCAGAACCGACCTGAGGGTACCTAACAATAACGTGGTAATTCTATGTTTAACTTTTTGAGAAACTGCCTGACTGCACCATTTTGCTTTCCACCAGCAATGGACAAGCACAAGGGTTATAATTTTTTTCTTTTTTCTGATCATTGCCATCCTAATGGATGTGAGGTTATATCTCCCTGTAGTTTTGATTTGCATTTCCCTAATAACTAATGCCACCACCGGTCTGTCAGTTTGTCATACTGTGGGTGCTTGCATGTTGTTACGATGCTGGAAGCTATGGCACTGATATTTCAAATACCAGCAGGGTCTCCCATGGAGGACAGGTTTCAGTGGAGCTTCTAGACTAAGACAGACTAAGAAGAAAGGCCTGGCGATTCCCTTCTAAAAATTAGCCACAGGGATCACAGCAGAATATTGTCCAATAATGTGCTGAAACATGAGCCCCCTAGCTTGGAAGGTATTACACAATGGCTGCAAAAATAGACTCAAACATATCAATGATCATCAAGATGGTTCGGGACTGGGTGACATTTTGTTCTGCTATACACAAGGTTGCTGTGAGTTGGAGCCGACTCAGTGACAACAGCAATGACTGATGACATTGAGTGTCTCTTCATGTGCTTCTTTGGCCCCTTGTTTTGGGAAAGCGCCATCTGTGCTGCCCAGGACCAGCTTCATAATTTGTAAAACGGGAATGCGGGGCCCTTTCTTCAAAAATTACTAAGAATTCTGAGATGATGACAGTAGGGCATTGAACCAAGTGTGGGCTGGCCCTGCCGCTCCCTTTCCCAGGTTCTCACTGACAGCAGGGAGGCAAATCCATTTTGAAATCACTAATGCGATAATGTTCCATAACACACTGACTGCAGGTCAATTTTATAAACAGGACTAAATAGTCAATTGAGTAAACTGAGAAAGCATCATGCTTGTAAAGTAGGGGGTCAGCGAAGAAGAGGAAGACCCTGAATGAGATGGCTTGACACAGTGGCTGCAACACTGGGCTCAAGCTTAACAACGATTGCGGGGATGGTGCGGGATCAGGCAGTGTTTCGTTCTGTTATGCAGAGTGTCGCTATAAGTTGGAACCGTGTCAATGGCACCTAACAACAGACTGAGATCAGGACTCAGTTTCACTTGCAAGAAAGGAGTGTACCACAGAAACTTGTTGAAGTCGACTTCTCTGAAACAGGTAAAGTTTAAACACCTTTTATTTCAAGAAATACTGCTTCTAGACTTGCCTGAAGCCAGAATTGTTCTATAAAAGTATCACAGAATATTATACAAGATTAAAAAACACAGTATGCTTCCTAATAACTTGAAACTTTTTTATAAAGAACATCATTCATGATCATAAATATGTTTATTCTGTCATTCGGTGGATGACACACACATCTGATAAACAGGTAGTTAATTTCAACATATGTACAGTCTACCATAAAGACTTTCTTAAAGTTATCAAAAATCCAACTATAGCAAATTAAATTTTCTTTAAAAGAGTTTACTTTAAATGCTTAAGAAAACATAATTTACCTATGCATTTGAATTAAAAGACGATCACTGTTAAGCCAAAAAAAAAAAAAAAAAAGCCAAAAAAAAAAATCCAAACAGAGTATGAACCTTCTTGGAAAATTGAATAGGGTGCTGATAACACTCTCAATGAGGTAATCCTTTTGCTGGTATTTAAAAAATCTAGTACAAAACAAGAATATTTTCAAAGACACAGCTTTTCAAAAATAATTTTGAACTATGCCTTAAAAAAAATCAGAACTTGAAGGCCTTAAAAATAATCTTACAACACCATGTTATGAAATTGACCTCACATATACTGTGTTTAAATTATGAAACACTTGTGAGTTTATTTTACTGAAAAACATTTTTCTGATATAAATTCACAACTAAACATACTTTTTCTCAACACTTATGCCTAATAACCAGGTCATGAAAACAAAACAAAGATTAAAAAAAAAAAAGTGTCCTTTTATCCTGTCAATAAAGTAAGCAGAATTTAATGATCTTAAAGATAGGATGAATACCTGGAGGTCAGGCACAGGGAAATCAGTTAATCTCAGCTTTGTTTATTCATTTATTTATTTTTTTACTACCAACATCATTAGCCATGCCTTTCTGCTAATCAATTTTAGCAAGTCGAGGTAAAACACATGCAATATTTCCTGGCGAAAGAGTATGTTAAACAATATGGGATCCATACTGTGTGTCGTCCTAGGGGGTCTATTTTACTGTGTCCCACTGAGAACAGTGGGACTGTGACAAGACTGGAAAGAAAAAATAAGACTAACCAAATAGACATGGCATTCAGATCTCAAAGTGCAAAATCACTGAACCAAAAATGATGGCATTGAAAAATTCCAGTGGTTAAAAATGAGTCGAAACCACATCATGCAGGCAGTGGAAGTGCGTAGGAAGATTCGCTGATGGTGTCAGGTTTTAGAAATGTAGAACGTCACGATTCTAGCCTTCTCGGTCGGGTAACATTTATATACTCATGCTCCCACAACTTTCAATAGATAATACTGTTTTAGTACCGAACAAACAAACGAAAGAAACAAAACAAAACCCCTCTTCCTTTCTACTTTTGAAAGATAGTGAATTAAAACAATGAGTCCCTGTGTGCACAATGCTCACACATACACTAATTTCTAAAGCACAAGTGTGTCTAGAATAGCTTGGAATGTTGGTAGCTATGATTGCTTTTATTAGTTTACTAATAAAAAGTTAAAAAAATACTGTGTATAGGGTAACAATTCCATCTAATCAGAGGAGAGGAGCGAGGAGGTGCTGCCTTCTAGACTCTCTAAGCTCTTCCTGTTGTGATTCTCCTCCACTTTGCTTGCTGCCCTTTCCACTGTGCTGGAGTTCATTTGCGGCTGCACAGTGGACATGTTGATCATCTGATGGACAGAGGTTCCATCAGAATGCACAGGAAGATACAGCTGATCTTCAAACACATCTCCTGGACCACTATCCTGGTAAAGTTCTTGCTGATGCCTGCTCATGGGCTGCAGAACGGGGCTGGGTTGGAGTGCCAGCTCTGTCATGCTGTTGCCACTGAAATCATTGTCAGAATGATTGATCTCTTCACGCCTCATCCATTTTTCAGTTTTATGATTTCTCCAGTGTTCAGAATTCAAATGACTAACTTCTGGAATGTCGTTATTCCATTCAAGTTTCCTCTCTGGCTTGAATGTTGGTCGGTTCAAATGCAGGGTCCTAAGGTCGGCTGGCAAGGTTAAACAAGGAGCTTTCCCATCCACATGACTTGGGTCTTCATCTGACTCAGCAAAGCCCATCTCCCCTGGCACAGGGGGCACAGGAGATATGGCCAGGAACCCAGCACTTTGAGCAGTTTTAGTCTGATTTGCTTTATTTTGCTCATGGTGACTGTTCAGCAGTGCAAATACTCTATCTACATCCTTCAAGTAATTAGTCCAGTCCACCAGACTAAGTCTATAGTTTTGTCTGTACTCATAGACACTTTCATTCACACTGTAGAGATCCTCCAGGGCCTGCCAATTGATGTCTGCCATGAGACTGGGCCGATTAACCTTCCCATCCATCCCATAACTGTCCTCTGTGAAAAAATAGACGAAGGCAGATTGTTAGTGGAGAAAATATATTTCCTATGTATCTGCAAAAGCAATTTACATTGTTCTTATAGATCAAGTCTATTCAAACTATAACACTGAAAAATATTCCCCACTCCTCCCCTGAGTAATTCGTTATCAAGAACTGGCCTTAGGTTACAAACGTGTCTGAACAACAAGATATTGGAAAAGGGATCAAATGAGTAAAAACATCTCTCACTAAGCACAGCTGATTCTGGAAATGGTGCTGGCCTATTGGTCAGAAGTCTAGTGTTTTACTCCTGGCCATACTCAAGCTGGAGACCTGGTGGAGCAGTGGTAAAGAGCTTGGCTGCTAATCAAAAGGTTGACAGTTCAAATCCACCAGCTGCTCCTTGGTAACCCTTACGGGGCAGTTCTATTCTGTCCTACAGAGTCACTAGGAGTCAGAATCGATTTGATGACAACAGGTGCTCAAGTCAGTTCTCACAAGAGGAGATCCTGTGAGTGAGTCTCTCTAAGTCTCGGTCCTCCATCTGTCACATGTGGGATTTGTGGTGTGATAATACTTTTACACTTATAGGGTTGCTAGGGGAATGATGGAGTCCCTGAGTGGCGCAAAAGATTAAATGCTTAACTTCTAACTGAAAGGTTGGTGTTTCAAACCCACCCAGAGGCACCTAGGAAGAAAGGCCTGGCGATCTGCTTCTGAAAGGTCGCAGCCTTAAAAACCCTATGTAGTGCAGTTCTACTCTGGATTTGAAAGTGTTTTAATGTCACATGCTTAGTAAGATGCTGTTATTCGACATTCCCTGGCCCTTTAAGAATAAAAACAAACTTGAACACTAACTCTTCAAGTCAAATGCTTGGGTCTTCTTCTTTGGTTGTTTTCTCCCTAAAAGTTCCACACCCTTGAGAAATCAACCCTGGAGTTGTTTTTACAGCGTATGAATCACCAGCACCATCTACATCAGGAAAATGACCACAGTCTTGCAGAAAACAACACTTCTTCTCTGGCTGCACGCAAGTGACATTTAGAAAGATGTGGCCTTGATTAATGCAGCAAATTACTCACAAAATAATACAGATCAACAAGCAGGAAAAGTAAAACTGCATAAAACCCACACCCTCAGTGTCGCTAGAAGACAGAGAATGCTACAATCTTCAAATCGCCTATAAGGAAAAAAGTTAATACCAAATCCCAGCAGAGCTATGTCTCACAGTTCAGCTACAAGCCCTGGGAAAACTGCATGGAAGAGAAGAGGGAGTGAGGACGGAGCTGAAGACTGACTTCAAATCGCCACTGGAAGGAACGTTAACCCTGATCTAAAATACGGAAGAGGTACGGTAAACGACAGCACCCACAGTGAGGAAGGGGCTTGCAAGTGTGCGTGATTCGTGGTGGGAGTCTGTGGAAGGCATTGCTTCAGGGAGAAACACGGACACAGAGGAAGGCAGAAGCCCTCTTGGGAACTGCAGGTTAAGGGAAAAGGAAAAAAGGGGCGAATTTTCAGGTCCTGCAAGGAAAAAAAAAGAGAGAAAGAAACAAAAAACCGGAGCACACATAACTTCTCCTACTATCATTCACTTATTCACTCACTCTCTCACTCATTCACTCACTCACTCACTCTCTTGCTCACTCTCACTCACTCATTCACTCATTGTCATTCATTCATTCACTCACTGTCTCATTCACTCACTCAGTCATTCACTCACTCACTCTCTCACTCATTCACACGCTCATTTACTCACTCTCTTGCTCACTTACTCTCACTCACTCTCATTCATTCACTCTCTCACTCATTCACTCACTCACATAAAAATACAAAAGAAATCACACTTGGTTACACTGACAGAAGAGGATGCTCTTAAACTAGGAATCTTGGAAATACTCCAAATCCACAGAATTAATGAAAGCAGCCTAAATCTTTACAAAATTGCTGTAAAGGAAAACAGAAAATGAGAATCAAAAACCCATCACCTTATGAAAATGGCCCCGCCAAGAGAAACCATAAAGGGAAGAAAACAGCTACACAACACTCCTAACGAAATTACATGTCCTCAATCAAGGATCTGAGGATGTGAAAACCATCTTAAATCAGAAATTAAAGTATGAACTAAGAATTGTATATCCATCCAAGCTCTCTTTCAAGTATCGAAGCAATAGAAAAAGTTGTAGACATGTAAGAATTCAAGGAACACTGTACACATCAGCCCTTCTTGAGAAATCTTAGAGGATGGGCTTCATTCAACCAGAAATGACTAGGGAAACTCTGGCAAAAGAACTGATGGTAAGCATTTCATGTGATGGTAAGCATTTCATGTGATGGTAAGCATTTCATGTATTTATTAGATGTAAGAGTAAATCATGGGGAAAAGGGTAGAACAATAACACACACAGTTTACATGACAAAGTAGAAGTAAGGTAACTAAAAAGTGGGAGGAGAAGTAGAAAAAGTGAAAGCAAATAAGCTCATTGAATATTATACAGGCAATAGTTAAGAGTCAAAAGATGGTATTATAAACTGGCCAGCTAGACAATGAAATAAAAGATTACATACAAAAACAGGAGATTAAGGACATTAAAAAGGTGCAAGCACAGAGGCAGTTCAATAGAAGAAAGATACAAATCTCCCTAAGCTCCAAAAAACCCCAAACCATTGCCTTCGAGTCAATTCTGACTCATAGTGACCCTATAAGACAGAGTAGAACTGCCCCATAGAGTTTTCAAGGAGTGCCAGGTGGATTCAAACTGACGACCTTTTGGTTAGCAGCCGTAGCTCTTAACCACTACACCACCAGGGTTTCCTAAGTTCCAAAGGACATTAAAAAAATAAAAAGAGCAACAGTCTTTATAAAGATGAAACTATAGAGGATATCATGAGAATTACATAGAAATAGAATAATAGAAGTTACTCAATACAAGAGAAGCCAAACGGACTAAAAAATAAGTCCTAAATACCATAATAAATAAGATAGATCTTATGGATACATACTGAACATTTAACTCTGAAAACAGACAATGTACTTTTTCAAGTATATATGAACATTGACATAATTTTATTAAGTAACAAAGAAAGCATTAGTAAGTTTCACAAAGTAGAAATATTACAAACACCTCTCTCTGATACAATACAATAAAATTTGAAATTAGTAACAGAATAAAAATTTTTTTAAAAAGTCCTTTCACCTGGAAAATCACAAACCTTCTATTAAACATTTCCTGGGCAAAAAGGGAAATAAAAACCTAAAATCACGTCATTTATTCAAAATAATGATAATGAAAACACTACATGTCAAAACTTATGTGATACATATAAAGCAGCAATCAGAAGAAAACTGATAGCCTTAAACACTTTTATCACCAAAAATAAATTAATTAAATCCCAATCTAGAAAAAGAACAATGTAAACCAAAAGAAGGCACAGGGAAAGAAACAATAAAAGGTAAAAGCATAAGGTAAGGAGGTAGAGAACAGAAAAATAATATATCTAATTAATAAATAAAAATTCTGGTTCTTTAAAAAAAATAGTAACATGATAGACAAATCACTAGCTAAGCAAATCAAGAAAAAAGAGAGAAAGCTTAACTACATAACAAAAAGTGACATGGGAGAAATAATCATTGAAATACACAAAATTAAAAAAATCACAGGAGTTTACTTTGCAAACTTCCATGCAAAGAAATTTGAAAACAAAATGAAATGGATAATTTCTTAAGGAAATACAGTTTACCAAAATTGACCCCAATAGTGATACAAAGTTTAAACAGAGCAATTTCTGTAAAAGAAATGGAAAAGTTATCAAAAACTACAAAGAAGCACCAGATCCATATGGCTTCACAAGAGAATTTTACCAGATCATCAGGGAAAAGAGAACCCCCTATGTTATATAAATTGTTCCAGAGCATAGTGAAAGAAATCTTCTGAACTTTTCGTATTAAGCAAGTATAACATTGATACTTGTGGAAAGCAGAACAATGGTGTCCCAAAGATGTCCAGGTCCTAATCTCACAGGACAAAACAAAAACAATCACACAGGTGCAGTACAGTATATATAACACATTACCTTTTCTGTAGAAAGAGAATAAAACATACACCATGTACTTATTATTGCAATAAGACACACAGAAAGGGAAAGCAGAAACTGATGAGAGAGGTTACCTACAAGGCATGGGGGCAAGAAATTGTAATACTTCTTCGAGTATACTTTTTGCATAGTTTTGACTTCTGGAACCAAAATCAAACCAATGGGGAAGAGAAAAAAAGAACCTAAAATGGAATACAAACAGGTAAATGAACCTTACTCTATTTCAAACGAGTAACGTCGCCACAATAAAAGGATGGAACTAGCCCAAGGAACTCTGGACACAGTATTTCAACTATACTTTCTCGTTCTAAAGGCAGGAAGAACTGGAAAATGTACTAAACTCTAGTTAGTAGGTTTGGTTTGCAGTAGTATGAGTTAGCAATCCTGAAATTGCTTGCTGAGTACCGTAACATTTAACAAATGAGTTCACACTTTGAGGATAATGGGGACTACATTTCTCACTGTTGGAGAAGGAAGCTATAATACAGCAAGAAAGAAGAGTAGAAGAAACCTCATGGTGTTGCATTAGTATTAGAGGTATCAGTATGAACACATGGTTTTTAACGTATCTAGATAGCTATATCCACACTTATCTCTATATATCTATAAGTACAGGAATAGATGTATATATATGTGTGTGTGTGTGTGTGTGTATTTTAGTTATGCTCAACAAAAAGGTTTAGATGCAAAGACCTCTCAATAGCAATTTTATACACCTCAAACTCAGATCTTGGTTTCCAAGTGCCATTCTCCACTAAAAGGAACTAGAGCCCTTTGGATTAAGGACTGATTTCAGATCCGAGGAGGGAAAGTTCCGGATAAACCAGGAACATATTGTTGGACCAGAAAGCAAATGAAAGTGCTCAAAAAATGATGGAGACATGTCAAAGGGACACAGAAGCCACCTGAAGGCACACCTC